CTGTATCTATAGATGTAATCCCATTGGAAATAGAGTCTTCTTGGTTATGTTAATATCATATTAGTTTAGAGTATGTCCTAAACCTAATCGTCATCTCTGAATGATATAAACAGCAGCATAGTCACAGACTAGAAGCATATACAGAGGGAAGATAAACACTATCTGAAGATAACAGAGGTAGATAAAGATACCAACCCTGGAGTTCCAAGGATTGCTGAGTACTAGATGCTGAAATAGGCAAGGAGGGGGATCTCTCCACTAGGGCCAACTCTGAATTTGGACTTCTAGCCTCCTGAACTTTAAGACAATAAACTTTTGCTCTTTAAAGCCACCTTCCTGTGGTGTTTTGGTACAGCAGAACTGTTGTTGTTAAGTGCCATCGAGTCGGTTCCGACCCATAGCGACCCTGTACAGGGTTTCCGAGGGTGTAAATCTTTACGGGAGTAGAAAGCCTCATCTTTCTCCTGCGGAGTGGCTGGTAGTTTCGAACCGCTGACCTTAAGGTTCGCAGCCCGATTCGTAACCACTACACCAGAACTAGATAATTAAAACAAAAACCTCTTCCAAAGTTTATATATTTACTTTGTGTTATATTATTACAATAACAGATTAAAATACACACACACACACACACACACACACACACACAAAACAAAACAGAAAACATACGACTTGAAACCAGGCAATCTTGATTCTAGTCCTAGTTCTTTCTTGGTAACCTTGAAGTTTCTGGAGCACAGTTTCTCCATCTTTAAACAAACTGTGTTGAATTAGATAATCTCTAAGATTTTAACAATCTATATTTGTTTATGAGTTATATCATAATTAGTTTTAGATTATTTTATTTATGGATGTTACATGACTCACATCTAGGAAGAAGTTTTTGATTTGTTCATATCATTTGCTCTGTTTAAAGTGGTTGTTTCATAATGCTAACTGGTTCAATAGAAAGAACTATGATTAGCATGTAAACTGCTAAGGCAGCAGGAGCTGCTTCAAAATTTTAGAATTTTTTTTTTTTTTTTAGCATACTAAATGTCTATAATCAAATATTTTTTTTCTCTTTCATTTGGAAAACTCAGTGGTAAGAAAATTCTATCTCTGACTAAGAAGCAGATACATATTTAGTGGAATTTGATTTTCTTAAAGTACTATTCTACTTATTCATCACTTTAATGAAAATGGTGATTGATGATAACAATTAAAAAAAGATATTAAATTGGTAAGTAGAGAGACATTGTTGTTGTTGTTAAGTGCCATAGAGTTGGTACCGACTCATCGTGACCTTATGCACAGCAGAACAAAACACTGCCCGATCCTGGGCCAACCTCATTATTGTTGCCACGCTTCAGTCCATCGATGCTGCCACTTGGCTAATCCATCTCACTGGGGGCCTTCCTCTTTTTCTCTGATCTGCCACCTTACCAAACATGACATCCTTCTCCAGCGACTGGTCCCTCCTGACAATATGTGTAAAGTATGAGAGATGAAGTTTGGCCATCCTGGCCTCCAAGGAGCACTCTGGCTGCACTTCTTCCAAAACAGATCTGTTGGTTCTTTTGGCAGCCCATGGCACTTTCAATATTCTCCTACAACACCATAACTTAAAAGCACGAATTCTTCTATGGTCTTCCTTATTCACTGTCCAGCTTTCACATGTATGTGAAGTTATTGAAATTACCATGGCTTGGGTCAGGCGCACCTTAGTCCTCAAGCTGACATCTTTGCTCTTCAACACTTTAAAAAGGTCTTGTGCAGCAGATTTGCCTAATGCAATATGTCATTTGATTTCTTGACTGCTGCTTCCATGAGTGTTGATAGTAAAGGGACATAAAACTTTAAAAAGGGAAAACATCTGAATTCCAAGGCAATCATTCACACACACACACACACAAACACACACACACCCCTTTATGCCAGTTTGAAAGCAGTATCTGTAGCATATAAGAACGTCAGTGGCATTCAAAACTTGAAGATGGTTTTTCATATCTTTTGGACTAATAATTGCTGTTACTTGCCATCAGGCCCACTAATGTCACTGTTGTTTTAGGTGCCACGGAGTCAGCTCCAACTCATAGTGACTCTGTGTACAACAGAATGAACATAACTCAATCCTGCATTATCCTCATAATCATTATTAAGTTTGAGTCTGTTGTTGCAGTCACTGTGTCAACCTATCTTGTTGCTATTTCTCTTTTTTGTTGACCTTTTACCAAGCATGAGGTCCTTCTCTAGGGACTGAACCCTCCTGAAAGAATGATCAAAGTATGTGAGAAGCAGTTTCACCATCTTTGCAGCACTCAGTAAATTAAAAGACTTATTGAACTGGGCAAAATCTGCTGCAAAAGACCTCTTTAATGTGCTAAAGAGAAAACCTATTGCTTTGAAGACTAAAGTGCGCCTGACTCAAGCCATGGCATTTTCAATAGCTCATATGCATGTGAAAGTTTGACAGTGAATAAGAAGACCATAGAGGAATCCATGCATTTGCATTATGGTGTTCGGAAAGAATATTGAATACACCATGGAGTTCCAGAATAATGAACAAATCTGTCTTGAAAGAAGTACAGTCAGAATGTTCTTTAGAAGTGAGAAAGGCTCAATAATAATTACTGATCAATTAAACAATGTTCCAGGGACTGTGCTGTATGGTTTACATTTATTGTCTCATTGATTCCTCACAGCAGTTATATGGACAGATACTATCATCATTTTTATGTTGCAGATGAGGATACTGTAGTTCAGAGAGGTGGTGTCAATTGGTGTAGGCTGGAGAGTCAGTAAATGACATGATGAGTATTGTAAGTTACAGTCCAGGCGCTTAACTACAATGCTACAAAGTTCAATTCTCTATGAGTATATTGATGCAACAAAGATGACGAGACTTGGTCTCCCATACTTTGGACATGTCATCAGTAGTGGCCAGTCCTGGAGAAAGACCTCATATCTGATAAAGTAGGTCAGTGAAAAAGAGGAAGACCCTTGATGAGATGAATTGATACAGTGGCTACAACAACAGGCTCAAATATGGCAATGATTGTGAGGAAGGCACAGTAATGGGCAATGTTTTGTTCTTTTGTACATAGGGTCATTATGAGTGGGAGATGACTCCAAAGGCCCTAACAACAACATCACCTCCATGATATAACACATGGAAACAGCATGGAGCAATGTGATTGACATACAGCAATTGGTTAATAAATTTTAGTTGTCATCATCAAACTTACTTTATGGAAAAGAATCATAGAGATGTGAATTACAATATGAAACTGAATATGCTCTGATGACTACATGAAGACCTTCTGCTGTTTTGCATGTTTCATTTCACTAAAACAGATCGTTGATGGTTATCAGTGTGAATGGCAAGAAGTCCCTGGGCAGATGATACCAAGTGATGGATCTTATATCTAAAGATACAGAGAAATCAAATAGAAGGAGAGAAAGTGAGGGAGAAAAAGCAGGTAAGGAAGGTAAGGAAGAAAAAATCTATGTGTATCGGACCCTGTCCTTTGCCACCATTGTCCCCTGTATTCCCCTCGGTTCCTTTCAGCAGTGACAATGGAACAGCTAAGAAAGGTTGAGCTTAGCTATAAACAGAATTTACAAAAAAAGAGGTTAACAAACTGCATAGTGAATTGAAAACTAGAAAACAAACAAACATGTTACTTTTCCAGAACCCTAAGCATTATATTTTTACTGAAGCATCATAGACCAATGCAGTTAATTTTTCAAAAACCAAACCAAACTAAGAAAAAATAAAACAAAACAACAAATCACTAACCAACCCAAAAAACTAAGTCACAAAAGAAGCGATCTAAACAACTATGTATAGAACAAAATGATACTTGCAACTAATGAACCAACTATAAAATTGATCACCCCTACAAAATTACAAGGTTGGCGGTTCAAGCTCATTAGCTGTTCCTTGGAAACCCTATATAGGGTCGCTATGGATCGGAATTAACTCGATGGCACTTAACAACAACAACAAAATTGCAACCTTCTTTGAGTTACTTATTTTTATACTTACTTAATTATTTATTTTTGATCTCCTGTGGGTTAATGCGCTGGATTGCAAAGTCAGTTTGAACCAGAAGGTCAGCAGTTCAAGCTTACCAGCTGCTCCTAGAAAACTATACAGGATCGCCATGGGTTGGAACTGACTCGGTGGCACTTAACAAAAGCAACAAAAATGTCTGGGATAGTGTTGGCCTTAACATTTTGTTCTCAATCTCTGCTTTTTGAGTTGACTTCCTGAAATTTTACACGGTTCTAGTCCCTTTGTACTGAACCTTATTTCCAGAGAAATAACAAACAAGAAACTACAAGCTCCACCCATCCACCCTGAATTTCCAGCTGTATTCAATCCTTATATTTTTAGACTAAGATCATTCAGTGTCAACAAGGTGTTGGGAGTACTGGAACTGTGACATTTATTGTAAATAAAAACAGGTAGTTTAAGCTCATGTTGGTTAAATTTAACAATTCAGTACTCAAAGTGCTTTTGTTTTATCTTTTCACAAACTAGGAAAAATTCATGTTCCCAAAATCTGACATAAACATTCACCCTCACAGTATACAGAAAAGATTTTTTCTTTATATTACATATTATAAACAGAAGAAATTTTCACATAACCTTTCTAAAATGTTATATATGAATGCTGGGCTTGGACATAGAGAATTTAATCAAAATGCCACGTTGCTTCAGGGTAATTATATGCAAAATACAATTTCCATTGTATTGAAAATTCCATCCTGTAAATATTTATCTATTTCAAAATTGCTAACATATTTGAAAACTTTAATTGGTTTATACTCAAGGCAATGAAGAATGGAAATTTTGCTTTCACAAGACATTTACATGCACTTATTCTGTCTATGTATATATAGTACTTCTTTTGAGTGATCATGAAATTTAATGTGAAGTGAAACCATCCCAGATTTGGACTAAATGACCAAATTAGAAGTAATAATAATAATAATCGTTTTCATCACTGTACCTTTTTTTTCTGACTTATCGGAAACTTTTCCTCCAATTGGAGAGTAAGTAGTATCCAAGGACTCGGTCCCTCTGCTCCCCTTGCTAACTCCATTTTCATAGAGCTGTCCTTCAACTGGTTGCAACTGCCAAGTCAGTCCGAACAAATGTACTGCTGCAAGAAAACAAGCCATATATTAACTCATCCCAGACTTGCTAAGAAGGTCTCCAAACCAGTTGTTCCTTTGCTCCTGAAAACGTTGCCATCAATTTTCTGTTAGGCCAAGTTAGTGTGATTTTTTCTATATCATGTAAGTAGCTACTTTTCCAAGTAGTTATTAAACTTTGAGGTTGAAGCTAACCCCGTAATATGGTTAGAAGCTGCTCCTCCTGGCTGAATTTTGTTCCACAGTGCTTTGTCCCCTTACTTTTTCATTTCTCTGAATGCTCAGTGGCCAAAACAAAGGAGACCTTCTCTGTAAGTTTGATTCAATTCATTTTAGCGAGCATTTCCTGAGTGCCTATGAGAGATGCTGCTGGTGTTAAAATTGAGATGCTTATTGGAGTGTGAGTTGGTAGTAACAGAAGTATAAAATCAACATAGTATAATGTGGAATAAGTTACACAGAAAAAAAAATATACTGACCCTATATAGGGTTTCTAAAGAGCTCTGGTGGCATAGTGGTTACGAGTCGGGCTGCTAACCTCAAAATCAGCAGTTCAAAACTACCAGCTGTTCCATGGGAGAGAGATGAGGCTTTCCGTTCCTGTAAAGGTCTACAGCCTTGGAAACCCTATTCAGGGTCACTATGAGTCGGAACCGACACATGGCACACCACCATCACCACCATATAGGGTTTCTGAGACTGTAAATCTTCGTGGGAATAAATAGCCTCAACTGTTTCCACCAGCCACTCCTTGGAAACCCTATACAGGGTCGCTATGAGTCAGAACTGACTTAATGGCACTTGGCGTCATATTGCAGAAGACAATACAATGGCATAGGAAATTACACATAATGCAGTAAATTAAAACTATCTGAAGGGGCAAAACCAGAGATGTAGAGTGATTGGGTAAGGTTTCCCAAGGAAATTCTCAAAGGACAGCCCCTGCTACTCTCAAAGAATTAGTAGGTGAATTGTCATGATGGAAAATACCAAAAAACTCCTTGGCCCAAATGTCTTGGCTTTTTTTTTCAATAATGCAGTTTTCAGTTTTCTGAAAACTTCCTCATAATAAGTTCCTATGATCATCCTGTGTCCCTCAAGAAAATCTATCAAGATGACCCTTTAGCAATACAAAAAAAAAACAACCCATAACCTTCTGAACTTCTGGTGTGGTGTTGCAGGATCAGCACTGGACTGCAAACCACGTGGTCGACAGTTCAAACTCACCAGCTGCTCCTTGGAAATCCTATACAGGGTGGCTATGCATTTGAACCAACTCAACAACACTTAATACAACATAACTTTCTGAGCTGACCTCTCTGCTTTGATTGTAACTTCCCTAGTAGAGCCTCTTGTTTTGATTGGACCTTTTAATACCGGACCCCAAGGTTGTTTGAAAAGCAAGGTGGGTGGTTCAAACTTATCAGCCGATCCATGGAAACCCTATACAGGGTCACTCTGAGTTGGAACTGACATGACGGCACTTGTGGTGCTGTGGGTTAGTGTGCCATACTGTAAATCTATTTGAAAGTCGGCGGTTCAAGCTCACCAGCTGTTCCTCAGAAACCCTATACAGCGTTGCCATGGGTCAGAACCAACTCGACGGCACTTAACAACAAGAAGACTAAAACAAGTGTATTACTGAGAACTTGTTTGCAACCATTAGACATGCTTAAACACATTTTGTTTGGAATGAATTCAGGCATATTGAACCAGATCGCTATAAGCAATATTTTTTATTTACTCTCATAGTAAAATGTTAAGTGTTGTTGTTGTTAAGTGCTGTTGAGTCGGTTCTGATCCATAGTGACTTTGTATAGGGTTTCCGAGGAGCAGATGGTGGGTTTGAACTGCCGACCTTGCCATTCAAACTGACCTTACAGTCCAGTGTATTATCCTGTAGTGCCACACACTGGAGGCTTATGTACGGCTTTAATATTTTTTATGATTTTTGTATTAAAAAAAAATTTTTTTACAATGAATATGTTGTTGTTAAGTGCCATCAAGTCAGTTCTGACTCATCGTGACTCTCTATATGGTTTCAGAAAAGTGGCTAGTGAGCTTGAACCCTCAACCTTGCAGTTCAAAACAACTTTGTGATCCAGTGCTTGTCCTACAGCACCACACCAGGACTCCAAGTTAGTGATAACACACAGAAAAAAAAAATGATTATGAATATGAGTTATGGTGATTTACCATATGGGGAGGAAATAGTCCTTTAAAAACAAATGGCTTACACAACAGAATGTGTCAAAACAAATGACTTAAAAGAATGATAGATTACAATTCACTGGAATGATCAGGAATGATTTTAAGAAGGAAGTAGGATTAGATATGAGGCTTGATGGATGTGTAGGGGTTTGATGGGTGGCAACAATGGATGGGCTGTGGACAAAATGAACATAATATGACTTTGAAAAACACAAGATGTATCTGAGATAAAGGAAGTTGCTGGGTTTTGTTGGAGAACAACTTTGTGTAGGTGGCATTAGAATGCTGATTATGGTCACATTACAGAGGGCCTTGAATGCTCAGCTTAGATATCTGAATTCAATTTCATAGGCAACAATAGGTAGACATTACTAGGCCAACAGATATCTTAAGAATGATTTTTGTAGAAAGATAAATCCAGTAGTTGTGTTGATAACTATGAACTGTAAGGCTAAGTATTAGGTAATAATACCAATTTAAATGGCTCTTCAATAATCAAATGAGAAGTAATGAGTGTCTCAGGATAGTGGGATGCAAAGAAACTGATTCTTTAAAGAGAAATTGTATTAATGCCATCTCTGAATCTGATGACAGAATTTGTATATGTGTGTGTAGGGGGAGGGCACAGGGACGGGAGGAAAAGTAAAGAATCCAAAACAATTGAGGTTCTTAGTCTGAGTAATTTTGAGAATAGTGACATTATTAAGAGTAAGGGAATTGATTGAATGGATTGATTACAAGCTTTTGCCACCCCTGATACTATGCAATGACCTAGGAAGTAGAAGAGAAGCACTAAACATATTATTAGGCCAATTAGCTGGGATGTCCCATGAAACCATGGCTCTAGAAACCAAGAAACGAAATCCCTCAGCAGATGCATTTTTTGTTTGTTTTGTTTGGTTTGGTGTTGATGTATCTATCTATCTACAATGTTACTTATTTACTATCCAGCTTTCACATGCATATGAGGTTACTGAAAACACCATGGTTTGGATCAGGTGCACCTTAGTCCTCAAGCTGATATCTTTGCTCTTCAACACTTTAAAGGAGTCTTGTGCAGCAGATTTGCCTAATGCAATATGGCGGCGTTTGATTTCTTTGTTGCTGTTTCCATAAGTGTTTATAGT